CTGTGGAAAGCAGTTTGGAGACTTTTCAAAGAACTTAGAACTACCATTTGACCCAGCAATCCTATTATTTGGTACAATGAATCCTTCTACCAAAAAGACATATGCATTCATATGTTCATCGCACCACTATTCACAACAGCAAAGACACAGAATCAACCTAGGTGCCCATCAATGGTGAACTGGATAAAGAAAATGTGGTATGTATACACCATGGAATACTATGCAACCATATAAATGAATTAAATCATGCCCTTTACAGCAACATGGATGTAGCTGGAGGCCATTATCCTAAGCAAATTAACACAGAAACAGAAAACCAAATACTGCATATTCTTACTTATAAGTGGAAGCTAAACTTTGGGTACACATAGACACAAAAATGAAAACAATAAACACTGAAGACTACTAGAGGGAGGGAGAGGGGAGAAGCAAGGGCTGAAAATTACCTATTGGGGACTATACTTACTATCTGAGTGACAGAATCATTTGTACCAGAAACTTCAGCATCACGCAATATACCCATATAACAAACCAGCACCTGTACCCCCGAATCTAAAATAGAAGTTGAAATTATAAAAAACAAAACCAAAAAGACCCCAAAAACTATTCATTATGCTATTTGAACACATTTCTAGCACTTTACAGTAACCTATAGCGATTTTGTTATAGTATTATATAGAGTATTTCAAAATAAAAGTGTTATTGCCTTATACTTTATAGCACTTCACAAATTTCAAACTATTACACATATTAGCACTTTGTTTAGTGCGTTATACATAGTATGTCAATAACATCTGATGAAGTAAATCCTCATATTAGATTTCATTATAACTTTTTTTTTTTTTTGAGACGGAGTTTCGCTCTTGTTGCCCAGGCTGGAGTGTAATGGCGTAATCTCAGCTCACTGCAATCTCTGCCTCCTGGGTTCAAGCAATTCCCCTGCCTCAGCCTCCCAAGTATTACAATCATGAGCCACCACACCCAGCTAATTTTACATTTTTAGTAGAGATGGGGTTTCTCCATGTTGGCCAGGCTGGTCTCAAACTCCTGACCTCAGGTGATCCGCCCACCTCAGCTTCCCAAAGTGCTAGGATTACAGACGTGAGCCACCGTGCCTGGCCCATTATAACTTTTTATGCATTATTTATAAGTCAGTAGGCACAATGAAGTTTGTCAAGACAATGGGGTTGAGCTCTAAGGAACACAGTAAAAACCCATAGCCTGTAGTCCCAGCTACTCAAGAGGCTGAGGCAGGAGAATCGCTTGAACCAGGAAGGCAGAGGTTGCAGTGAGCTGAGATTGCGCCACTGCACTCCAGTTTGGCAACAGAGAGAGACTCCATCTCAAAAAAAAAAAAAAAAGAAAGAAAAGAAAGAAAAGAAATGCAACTGATGGAGAAGAACTTCTTCAACTTGATAAAGCACATCTACAAAAAATTTACAGCTAACATCATACTTGATGGTAATAAATTGTAAGTTTACCCACTAGGATAAGAAACAAGGCAAAGAGGTACCCTCTCATTAACATCATACTGAAAGTCCGTGCTAATGAAATAAGGCAACGAAAGGAAATAAAAGGCATACAGATCAGGGAAGAAGAAATAAAACTATCTTTGTTCACAGGTGATATGATCATATAATAACAAAAAAGTCACTGAACAAGCTACTGGAACTACTAAGTGATTACAGCAGGGTTGAAGGATACAAGTTTAACATACAAAAGTCAATCACTCTCCTATATACCAGCAATGAACAGGTGGAGTTTAAAATTAAAAGCATAATACCATATAAATATACCAGCAATGAACTTTCCTATATACCAGCAATGAACAGGTAGAGTTTAAAACTAAAAGCACAATACCATTTATATGATTTCCAAAATGGAAGACTTAGGAATAAGTCTAACAAAATATATGTAAGATCTATAGGAGCAAAAACAACAAAACACTGAAGAAAGAAATCAAAGGACAACTAAATAAAATGGCCAGATAATCTATGGTCATGGATAGACTCAATATTGTCAAGATGTCAGTTCTCCCCAACTTGATATATACATTAACTGCAATCTCAGTAAAAATCTTAAGAAGTTATTTTCAGGATATTGACAAACTTATTTAAAGTTTATGTAGAGAGGTAAAGCCAACACAACATTAAAGAAGAAAAACAAAATTGAAAGACTGAAATTACCCGACTTCAAGACTTATTATAAAGCTACACGCCACACCCACTTACGCCAGCACCCAGGTAGAGAACCGAAGGGCCTGAGGACAGGACTGCCTCACCCACTACTGCCAATGCAGGCACTCATGCTTGTCATCTGGGTGCCTGGGGATCAACCACTTACCTTATCCACAATGAGATACCATCTCACCACAGTTAGAATGGCAATTATCAAAACAACAAAAAGTAACAAAAGCTGGTGAGGATATAGAGAAAAGGAAACTCTTATACTCTGTTGGTGGGAATGTAAATTAGTACAGAAACTATGGAAAACAGTACGGAGATTTCTTTAAAAAAACTTAAAAACAGAACTTCCAGATGATCCAGCAACTCCACTATTGGGTATCTATTCAAAGGAAAAGAAATCAGTGTATCAAAGGGCTACCTGTACCTCCCCCCCATGTTTACTGCGGCACCATTCACAATTGTCAAGATATTGAATCAACCTAAGTGTCCTCAACAGAGGGACACAAAGAAAATGTGGTACATATACACGATGGAATACTATTCGGCCATAAAAAAGAATGAAATCCTGTCATTTGCTGCAACACAGATGGAACTGGAAGTCATTATGTTAAACAAGCCAGGCACAGAAAGGCAAACATCGCAAGTTCTCACTCACATGTGGGAGCTAAAAACGCTGATCCCGTAGAGGTAGAAAGTAGAATGAGAGTTAACCAGAGGGTGGGAAGGGAGGAGGGGATGAAGAATGGGTTAATGGTTAATGGGTATAAACATACAGTTAGATAGGCAGAATAAATTCTACTTATTGGTAGCACAGTAGGGTGACTCTAGTTAACAATAATTTATTGTATATTTCAAAACAGCTAGAAGATTTGAAATGTTTCCAACACAAAGAAATCATAGTGTTTGAGATGACAGATATCCTAATTACTCTGATTTGATCATTACACATCACACATTTGATCATATACATTGCATGGTATCAAAATATTACATGTATCCCATAAATATGTACAATTGTTATGTATCAATAAAAATATGTAAGTAAAGCTATAATAATCAAGACAGTGTGGTATGGCAAAAGACAAATAGATCGATGGAGTAGAACAAAGAGATCAATGGAACAGAACAGAGAACCGAGTCCAAAAAACAGAACCACATAAATGCAGTCAACTGATTTTTAACAAAAGAGCAAAGGCAATACGATTAATAAAAGACGGTCTTTTCAACAAATGCTGCTGGAACAACTGGACATCCACATGCAAAAAAAAAAGACTCTAAACACAGATCCTACACCTCTCACAAAAATTAACAAAATGGATCACAGAGAAAAATGCAAAATGCAAAGCTACAAAACTCCTAGAAGGTAACACAGAAGAAAATCTAAGTGACTTTGGGTATAGCAGTGACTTTTTTTCACATATAACACCAAAGGCACAATCCATGAAAGAAGGAACTGATAAGGCGGACTTCATTTTGCTCTGCAAAAGATACTGTCAACAGATGAGAAGACATGCTACAGACTGGGGAAAAAATGTTTACGAAAGACTGATAAAGCACTGTTATTCAAAATATACAAAGAACTCTTAAAATTCAACAATAAGAAAATGACTCAAAAAATTGGAAAAAGATCTGAACAGACACATCATCAAAGAAGATATACAGATGACAAATAAGCATGTGAAAAGGTGTTCCATATTATATGTCATTAGGGAAGTGAAAATTAAAACAATGAGATACAACTAAATACCTACTAGAATGGCCAAAATCCAAAATACTGACAATATCAAATGCTAGCAAGGATGTCGAGCAACAAGAACTCTCATTCCTTGCTGGTGGGAATGCAAAATGGGTATAGCCACTTTGGAAGACAGTTTGGTATTGTCTTATAAAGCTAAATATATTTTTACCATATGATCCAGCAATCATACTCCCTCAGCAATCATACTCCTTGTTATTTACTCAAATGAGCTAAAAAGTATGCCCCCACAAAAACCTGTACATAGATTTTAAAGTAGCTTTGTTCATATTTGCTAATATTGGCAGTAAACAATACGTCCTTCAGTAGGTGAATAACTAAACTGTGATACATTCAGATAATGGGATATTATTCAGTACTAAAAATAAATGAGCTATCAAGTCATAAAAAAGCATTAGAGGAAACGCACATGCATATTTCTAAGTATAAAAAGCCAATCTGAAAAGGTTACATACGTACTCTATGATTCCAACTATATGACATTCTGGAAACGGCAAAACCATGGAGACAGTAGAGAGTTCAGTGGTTACCACAGGATAGGGTGTAAAGAGGGAGGAATAGGCAAAGCACAGAGGATTTTAGGGAAGTGGAGGTACTCTCTATAATACCATAATGGTAGACACATGATATTATGTATTTGTCAAAACCTAAAGAATGCCTAAAACTAAAGGTGAACCCTAACGTAAACTATGGACTTTGGGTAATAATAATGTGTCAATGTAGGTTCATCAGTTCTAATAAATTGTAACACTATGGTGCAGGATAGTGACAGTAGGAGAGGCTACGCGTTTGTGGGGCAGAGGGTATACTCTCTGTACTTTCTGCTCAATTTTGCTGTGAGCCTAAAACTGCCCTAAAAAAATCAAGTCTAATAGAAAATCGAACCAAAAAACCAAACCATAGCTCTTCACCATCTTCTAATACTTCTCCCAGATCGTTAAAAACAGCTGTTTTCAACATGGATCAGAGGGCAAAACCATTACCTTTTTCTAAACTTCATCTTCCAAAAACATCTTAACTGGCAATTTAAGGCTCACAGGGCAGATCAAATAACTTACTTTTCAATTTTCTTCTTTTGTTCTTTTTGCCTTTGTTGTTCTTTTACTTGTTCTCTCTCAATATCCATGAAAAGTCGTCTATGTCTCAGGTACTGCTTTTGACGCTAAGGAAAGAAGTTAAAATTACTAAGATTCTGCTTTCAGAGGAATTTCCAAGGAAGAAAAATATTCTTATGCCACAGACAAAAACAAACAGCAAGCAAGCAAAAATAGATGATATAGAAGTTACATGGGATTAAGTCTTTAATTTCCTTCTGTCTGTGGTCACTCAGGATGTCACATACACAAGAATTTTATATTTTCAAGCACATAGCTATTATATGTTAATAGGCAAACCAGAGAAAGTATTTACTCTGTGTTACTCTGAAATATTTATTCTGTGTTCCCAAGTAGTAAGTACCATAAAAGCAGGGCCACAGAAAGAATGTAGAAGATATTTTGTAACAGAACAATAGTTACTTTAACTTTTCAAAATTAAAACAGTATCACAAAAGCATACTCTAAGCCTAGCCTAATATGGCACAGAGGAGGGTAGAAGGGCTGAGGTATACTAAAGCCTCAGACTCATAAACAACACGAGTAGAATAAAAGCAAGTCCTACTAGACTGTATGTGATCTGTTCATACCTCTGGATTTATATACATTCTTTTAAATACCAAGCTATTCAATGAGCAAAAAGCATGTCTATGTATATACCAGAGTAGTACAGGGCTTTTTGCTAAAAATTATTGAAGGTCTATACTCAATACTGAGGATGCATCAGAATCACCAGTGGTATTTTTAAAAAACAAAAATGCCCTAAACCTTTGTTTTTAGATATTGATCTGGTGTATCTGGTTTAGATCTAGGCATATTTGTATTTTGAAAAAAACTTCCCATCTGATTCTGGTGCATGGCCAGGTTTAAGAACTATTGGTTTAAACTAACTTTAGATTGAAAAGAGAGAGAGAAAAAAAAGAAAGCCATAAAGTAATTATCTTCCTTTAAATAAGTTATAGTGGCAAATATACATTAGCTGGAGAAATTTATTAGTATCAAATAATTCGTTTCAAATCAATGTACCCTAACTCATAGGAGCTTGGAAAAGAAATTCAACACATTATAACGAGTGAAGCAACTTTTATTTTATTTATGAAATTTGTGGTATTAGCTCTTTTATGTGTTAGGACACAACAAATTGTTTCCAATTTCTCATATATTAATACTATCATAGTAGAAATATTGGTGTCCAAAAGCAGTATCATTACATACCTCTTTCTTTTCTTCTTCTTTATCTACGCCAGACTGAAATGCGAGTGGAGCTTGGAATTCAGTGCTCAATCCTGATCGATATCCATCATAAGCCTGTTAGAAGGTTCAGTAACACAAAGTGACAAAATTACCAAAAACTACCTCATGAGCCATTTTGATATTTTTATCTATTCTTTTCTTTTGCAAACTTGGGCTCAACTGGATAAAGAAGCAAAAAATAAATAAATAAATAAATAAATAAAAAGGGGGATATAAAGAATAAAATCAAAAAAGAATGAAAGGAAGCCATTTCAGAAGGAATTAACCAAACACAAAATAATAAATTGAAGAAAAGGGTTCAGGTCAAAAATATGAATAAACAAAAAATTAAAATGTTCAGAATGAAAATTCTTTTAAAATGGTCACTTGAAATCACTGTCATGAGTGTACTTGGAATAGAATCTAGGATAAATAGCCAGATTCCTTAATATTTCAATTCTACATATGATCACTTTGAATTTATAAAACCCTCTTAGTGTGCATGAGTTGAGAGAAAATATTATATCAACAACTCGAATGGCATGGAGGAAACAGGCTAATTTCCACCCATGTTTACTGGGAAAGCCTTATAACATAACTTGGTATATCTACTTGGACATTATATAGGTCAAATGATGATCTCCAACTTTTAGAAATAAAAAGTTTAAAATTATTTAATCTCTAAAGTTTAAAAGTTATTTATCTTTCAACAAGGTTGCAGGATACAAGATCAATATACAAAAATCAATTGTATTTCTATACTTGTAAAGAAAAATCTAGAAAGTAAATTAAGAAAAAATTTACAATTACAATATCTTCAAAAAGAATAAAACACTGAGAAATTTAACAGAGGAAGTGTGAGTTTTACACTCTGAAACATACAAAACATTGTTTAAAAAAAATGAAAGATGACCTATATAATGGAAAGACATCCCATGCTTATGGACTGGAAGACCTAATATTGGCAGCATTCCCCAAATCGATCAACAAATTTAATAAATCTCCATCAAAATGTCAGTTGATTCTTGGCAGAAATTGACAAGATGATCCTAAAATTCTTATGAAAATGCAAGGGACCCAGAATAGCTAAGACAGTCTTGAAAAAGAACAAAGTTAGGGGACTCTTCCTAACATCAAAACTTACTACAAAGATACAATAATCAAGACAAACTGTACTAATTCAAGGATAGATATGCTATAGATCAACAGAATAAAAGTGAGAGTTCAGAAATAAACTCTTACATTTATAACGAATTGATTTTCAATAAGAGTGCCGAGACAATTCAATTGAAAAATAAATGTCTTTTTAACAGATGATTCTGGGACACAGGTTATCCACATGCAAAAGAATGAAGTTGGACCTCTCCCTAACACTATACACAAAAATTTACTCAAAATTGATCATAGGCCTAAATATAACAGTTAATACTATAAGACTTAGAAGAATGCATAGGAGTACATCTTCGTGATTTTGGCTTAGGTAATGGGTTCTTAGATATGACAATAAAAGCACAAACCATGAAAGAAAAAGTGGACAAATTAGACTTTGTCAAAACTAAAAACTTTTGTGCTGCAGAGGAAACCACCAAGAAAGTGAAAGGCAACACACAGACAGGAGAACATCTGCAAATCATATGTATCTGATAAGGGACTTGTATGTGGAACATATTATGAATTCTCACACTCAATAATCACAACACAAATAACCCAATTACAAAATGGGCAAAGCATCTAACAGTTCTCCAAGCAAGATATACAAATGGTCAGTAAGCACATGAAAAGGTGTTCAACATCATTAGCTATCAGGAAAATACAAGTCAAAAGTATAGTGAGGTGCTACTTCACACCCACTTGGATGGCAATAATTAAAAATACAGATAATACCAAGTGTTGATGAAGATGTAAAGAAATTTGAGCCCTCGCATACTGCTGGTGGGAGTGAAAAATGGTGCAGCCACTTTGGAAAAATCAGTTTGGCAGGTCCTCAGAAGGTCAAGCACAGTTATCATACATTCCACCAATTCCACTATGAGGTATACGCCCAAGAGAAGTGAAAAATATGCCCACAAAAAAAAATTGTACACAAATGTTCACAGCAGTATTATTCCTAACAGCCAAGAAATAAGCCAAACTTCCATCAACTGATGAATAAAATGTGCTATATGCACAAAATAGAATATTTCTCAGCAGTGTATAGGAACAAAGTACTGCTATATGCTACATCAGTGGATTTTGAAAACATCTGCTAAGTGAAAGAAGCCAGTCACAAAAGGTCATATCTTTCATGGTCTCCTTTGCACAGACTATCCAGAACAGGCAAGTCTGTAAAGACAGAAAATAGCTTAGTGGTTGCCTAGGACTGGAGGTGGGGCTAAAGGGAAAAGGGGAGTGGTACAGGACTTTTAGGGGGTGATGAAAATGTTCTGAGACTGATTGTGGTTAATGCCACAAACACAACCTGTGATTTTTGCACAACCCTGTAAATACTAAAAACACTGTATACTTTAAATAGGTCAATTGTATGGTATGTGAATTACAATCATTCATTATTTGCATATTATATATTTGCAAATTTGCCTATTCACTAAAATTTGTGTGTAATCCCAGTACTCAAGGTGTTTTTGCAGGCCTTTGCAGACATGCACAGAGCTGTGAAAAATGTGAGTCACTCAACATGCATGTTGCCAACAGAGGCTGACCAAGGTGATACTCTGCCTTTTTGTTTCAGCTGTCATGCTGTAAACAAGTGTCCTTTTTGCAGTCTATTTGGTGCCACGTGTTTGCATGTTTGTGTTCTATGTTGGTGATTTCACTGTTAAAATGGTCCCCATGCATAGCTGAAGTACTATCTATTATTACTAAGCACAAAAAGGCAGTGGTGTACCTTATGGAAAAAAATATGCGTGTTAGATAAGCTTCATTCCAGCATGAGTTACAGTGCTGTTGGCTGTGAGTTCATGTTAACAGATCAACCATGTATATTAAATAAGGTGTTTTAAAGAGAAATATATATAAAATAAAGTTATGTAGTAATTAGCTAACAAAAATTGTATGACCAGAGGCTTGCAGGAATCTAACCCAGTATCTCCCCTAGGAGCAAAAATTCAGTATTTCCTGATTCAGTGTTTGTAACAACTTTATATAACACAACTACTATGAATAACAAGAATAAATTGTTTATATCAATAAAGCTATTATTATTTTAAAAGTTATTTGTTTTGTAACTCTAAAAGTCTGAAAATCTATACAGCAAAATGTTCATGAGAAATATCTCTAAAATTTTGGTTATCTTTTTCATTTGTGCTTATCTTCTCTATAATAAAAATGAAATTACTTTCTGTTTTCAATAAAGAAAACTGGACTCCCAGTACTCGCCAACGATGAAGCACACTTTGGGCTCTCTCTCTTGCTCTCATTGATTGTAACTAAGACTTCTAGGAAATGTAGCTCCTGGGATCTGGAGAGCATAGGGGGTAACCTAGAGAGAAGTGAGCTAGAAAGTGGACCCCTTAATTCTGTGTGTGAACTCGCACTATCTCAGAATCACCCCTGAACTGTGCGTGCATGGGACAGACCTATAGGAATATATTAAAAGCTTTGAAAGCTAACTAAACATTGGAGCCACTGTGCACAGGAGAGATCACTTACAGTTGGAATTTAACCAGGTTGACTGCCTGCTAGAACAAACAACAAAAGAGACAATATTCTTCAGAGGATTTCAACAGAAACCAGAGTCTCAAAATATAATATTAAAAATGTTAGTCTGGTGGCTAACATGGTGGCTCATGCCTGTAATCCCAGCACTTTGGGAGGGCAAGGCAGGTGGATTACTTGAGGTCAGGAGTTCAAGACCAGCCTGGCCAACATGGCAAAACCCTGTCTCCACTAAAAATAAAAAATAAAAAAATTAGCCAGGAGTGGTAGCACACGCCTGTAATGCCAGCTACTAGGGAGGCTGAAACACGAGAATCACTTGAACTCAGGAAGCAGAGGTTGCAGTGAGCCGAGATCACGCCACTGCACTCCAGCCTGGGTGACAAAGCAAGACTCCATCTCAAAAAAAAAAAGTCTAGGATACAACTTAAAGTTAGTTGACATAGAAAAAAGCAGGAAGATGTGACCAATTTTGAGGGGTGAAGATAATAAACAGATCCCAACTCCAGGGTGACCCAGATGTTGAATTAACAGACAAAACCTTTAAAGCAGTGATTAATACTATATCTATGAGGAAAAGGCAAACCCAATTGAAGTGAAAGAAAATACAGAAGTTCTCAGCACAAAAGTAAAAATTATTTAAAAATACAGATCCAAATTTTAGAGACAGAAAAACACAATACGTGAAACCAAAATTTCACTGGATAGACTCAATAGAAGAATGAAAAAAAAGTCTGTGAACTTGAATCTACTGGATCAATACAAATGATCCAATGTGAAGAACAAAGAGAAAAAACAAGACTGGAAAAAAACCAAACAGCATGTCGATGATGCATCTGTGGGACAATATCAAAAGGTCTAACATTTGTGTCAATGGAGTTGCAGAAGGAAAGGAGAAAATAATTGGTACATAAAAAACATTTGAAGACATAATGGCAAAAAACTTCCCAAATTTAGTCAAAGATACAGATTTACAGATTGAAAATGTTCATCATACCTGAGATGGGATAAACTAAAAAACATTAAGCCTAGACACATCATAATTAAACTGCTGGAAACCAAAAAATAACAAGAGTTTTGAAAGTTGCCAGAAAAAATAGACATATTACATATAGAAGAACAATGACTCAAATAATTACAAATTTGCTATCAAAGACTGGAAACCAGAAGACAGTGGAACAGTATTTTTAATGTGCTGAAAGAAAAGAACTGTCAATCCAGAAATCCATATCCAGTAAAAATAAATTTTAGGACTGATGACAAAAGAGATATTCTCAGATGAAAGAAAATTAAGCAAATGCATTGCTACAAGACCTGCACCACAAGAAAAGGTAAAGAAAGTTAGCTGGAAAATGATACCAGGGAGGAATTTGAAACTTCAGGAATGAAAGACAAGCAACAAAAAGAGTCAGTAAGTAGAC